ACCCGCCCCCTGGGAAGGAGTGTGGGGTGTGAGGGGTGTAGGAAGGGGGGAGAGAAGGGAAGTGAGAAAGAGGGAAACGGGGTGGGGGAGGAAAAGAGTGAGAGAAACCATGAAAAGCAAATGTATCGGTTGGGGGGAAATGGGGAGCTAATAACAAATGAGCACAAGAAGGAAGAAAATGCTCTAAAATTGATTGTGGTGATGATTGTACAATTCTTAAGATGAATGAGCTACTGAACTGTATCATTTGTGAATTACACACTAATGAAATTGTTCCGGTAAAAAACAAAAACAAATCTATCATGTTCAATGTTGGGAACTGAGGAAGAGGGAAACCTTTAAACCACTCTTGCAAATTTCAGCTGACAGAGGACAATGAGGACAAGACAGACTGACTGCTCTTCGGCGCTCTGGGAGCACAACTCGGGGAAATAGCAGGAAGGCGAGGGCCCGCAGATAACGATGACAGTGCAAAATAGAAGGTCGGCAAACTTGGAGAAGGAGGGCCAACATCCTGTCACAGGGTCACCCAGGCATGTCTCCAAGTGCATTCAAGCCTCGGGTGAGAGGTCGAGGGCAGCGTTATGGAGAACATCCTGTCACAGGGTCACCTAGGCATGTCCCCAAGCGCATTCAAGCCTTGGGAGAGAGGTCGAGGGCAGCGTTATCTCAAGGTCTTTTGCAACCTGCAGGATTTTATGACTCAGAGGCCTCACCCGCCCCACAATGAAGAGGGGAGCATTGCAGCCCATTGCGAGTGGGTGAATGGGGTGGGGGTGGGGGTGGGGTCGCTCGGAGGAAGAGGAGGATCTGAGTTCTAACCCATTGAGGCCTGTGATGAGAAAGTCCAGGTTGCCCAGGATCTTGGTGCAGTTCACAAAGGTATCAATGTTCCTTGAGTCCACGGTCTGGAAGCGGCTCCCGGAGCCTGTTCCCTCGCAGGCTGCAAACGCAAAAGGAGAGGTAGCCAGGGTGGCTTGGCAGGCGAGGATGGCCCTTTCCCCACTTCTTCCCAGTGCCGACTCACCTTTGGGACACAAGCCCCCAGAAGGCTCACACGTCTTGAGGCTGCTGTCTTCCTTCTTGTCTGCAGGATAAGCTCTGACACAAGAAGTCTGATCGACCACAAAGTTGTCTGGGAAAGAGGGGCGCGGCGAGAGGTGAGGAATACTGCCAACTGAACCTCTTTCCTGAGCCCTTGCTCTCCACTGCGCCTCTGGCAGGAGCAAGGGTCGCTCATTGAGGGTGAACCCGCAGGCCTTCTCAGCCACTATAAGCAGACATTCTGCCATCCCAGCTCATAGCTACCCTAGAGAAGGCTGCTTTCTTGCTTGCTTTCTTGAAATAGGTTTCTGATGCTGTAAATCTTTGTGGGAACAGACAGCCTCCTATTTTCTGTGCATGAGTGGGGGCGATTGAGCTGCTGAAGTTGAGCTTGCTGTCCAAGGCCTGGCTCACAGTCCCCAAGGGCCCTTTCTGGCCTTCGAGGCTTTTCCTACAGTCATCCCAATATGAAGGTCCCCTACGATGCCATCCAGATGTTTCCTTCTAGCCCCGGACCCACTCCAGTGGTTCCTCTGCAGACACTCACGGGGACAGCTGGCTACACAGACGCTTCCGTACTGGTACTTGGTGAAGGGGTTGGGCTCCAGCTGGAACGTGAGCTTGTTGTAGACCAGGGGCTGCGGGCACTGCAGCACACAGGC